CTTTATTTTTAACAATTAGTTTATTATTATTTTAGTAGATATTTAGAGTAGTAGTAGATACTTTACTATTATGTTTTGCATTTTGCAGTATTTACCGGTTTGGCAAAGTGCATATTAAATTATTTTTTAAGATATTTGCATTTTTAAATAGCATGTTTTACTTTTTAGATGTTTGTATTTAACTTTAAATACCTACCTGGAAAGTCCAAATTTTATCGTCAGGTAATAAAAATATGTGCATACAACTTGTTCTGTTATTGACAAGTTTTTTAGAGTTTTACTAAATTTTATAAACAGTAAATATAAAATTGACGAGCACATAAAAACGATGAGTATCCAGAAATGATAAATGTTCAGGAAACCGTTTTTTTTTTAATTCAACGCAGTACTTTTTATATTCGAGTTTATATCGTTTTTCCCATTTTAAATGCCTCTTTCTATGTGGCCGTTATCGATATCCCCGTTTATTTAGGTACCAAAAGGTGTAGCCCCCTTTTTTGTACTTTCATTATTTTTCCAGTGTGCTCTTCAATTAGTAGTAAATACTGTAATAATTATATTTGCATATTTCTTAAATTACCTATAGCATGTTTTGCTTTTAGCTGTTTTGCATTTAACTTGAATTATCTACCTTTTTTCAAAAGGTAATAAAAAGACACGTTTAAAACACATTTCAATTATTTTAAATAATTTTTTTACTAAATTTTATCGAACAGTAAAATTTATTACAATAATTAACTCCTAACAGTCATAATCATTCATGATGATCTGCAAAATCGAGAAAAAAATCCAAAATTGACAATGGCAAATTGGTCAAGTTGTATGCAAAGGTACTTTTATTTTCTTACGATAAAATTTGGGTTTTCCAAGTAGGTAATTAAAGTAAAATGCAAACAGCTATAAAGCGCATGCTTAATTTGGGCAAATATGCAAATTATTATTTTTTTTTTTTTTTTTTTTTTTTTTTTATATTTATTTAGTATAATTTTTTCATATGGGGTTTGTATTAATTGTTAATAATAATTACCCTATTAATTCCATATTCCAAAGAATTAGGATAGAATAATATATGAAAAATTATTTTGTTGTAAAATTAACATGAATAAATTAGTATTATAAGATAATGTACTTAACTAAAACCGTTTTTGGCTTCACATTTCAATTCATATCTATATATTTGTAAACAATAAAAAAAAAAAAAAAAAAAAAAAAAAATAAGAAGAAAGTAAATAAATATTGATCAATTATTAAAGACGCCTAAAACTGTTAATCGATAAAACTAGTACCTCGTATTTTCTTTATTTTCTACTTGCTATATTAAAATTCCTCAGTATTTTTAGTTGATCCCTTGTATACGGCCAGCGTTCTGACTGATAAAATAACACTTCCGCTGCACCCGGTAAACAAATAATTTTTTTGTCACCTCGAAGGGTCACGGGCCGCCTTTGAAGTCAAAATAACAATAGAATTCCTTAGAGTGGGCCAACTGGTATGTATTCTTTAAACTGTGGTAAAACACTGGAAATAGTAGAAGAGATGAGCAGAACTGTGATTCTCCAATCGCAATTGAAACAGCGGTTGCGATTTTTAAATCGCTGCGACCGTAATCTGCGATTGCGATTTTAATATTTTGTACTAGGCATTTTATTCAGAGTGTCATTTTCTATCGAATAAAGTAAAAATACCGAGGGTGCCATTTAAAATCAAAAGTTGTGGTCATTTTAGTGAAGCAGGTGATCGAAACAAATTGAATACGCCTGTAATTTGCTTCCACTTGGCGTCATATGCTTACATACCAAATCTCGTTTTTTTTATCAGAAAACAAAAAGTTATAGAGGCGAACCACTCTTGAGAAACACCCGGTATATTATGATCTTGAAACCACTAATTGCGTGTCTGAATGAAGCCTTGTTCTGTCTTTAGCCTACTCATAGATATGTAAGGAGACGTTTAAGGTAAAAATATTTACTGAAAACTGACAACTAAAGAAAAACTTATTGTTGTCATTAGCGTAACTACAGAAATCTTGAATTTTATTAAATAATAAAAAAATTTTCAAAATATATTTTTATTTTTTTTTTTTTTTTTTTTTTGTTATGGAAAATTTTGCTTTATGAAAAAATATTTTAAAAAAAAAAAAAAAAAAAAAAAAAAAGTATAATTTTAAAATTAATAATTTAAGAATTATCAACAGAAAATTTGATTTTTTATATGGGACACCCTTATGTATATTTTTAATTTATTGAAAAGAATTTAAAATTACCTTTCCAAAAATATAACACACTTGATATTTTGCTTGATTCATTTAAATATAATTAATAATTCCCGCTTTAAATAAGTAGGCTTTGAACGGCACCAGCTGTAATGAAAAAAAATTCTAGCTGTGAGCATCAATTAAAACGAAAATAATATTTGCTATGAGAGATGAAGAAGTTTATAACAATTTAATATATATTTAACCAACATCAACACATTTAAACTATATCTAATAACAATAAAAATAAATAGCAAACCAAGACATGAGATTTTGCCACAGTGTTCGACATATCGACCCTCTTCTGTTATAGACAGACGGGGCAGTTTTGAACATTTCTCGCGGAATTCATTAACTCAGTGGGGGTGAAAGTACCAATACCAAAATACCCTCTCATAACTGCTAAATATTTCTAATTCTTTGTCTAGATTATACGGAAAAAATACAATGAACTTTTATTCTACCGCAAATATATCCATAGGATTAGATCCATGTGCACTAAGTCAGGCGGCCCTCGACGGCCAAAGTCTGGGATCTTGGTTAGTTGTTCAATTATTCTTGAAATTGGCCAAAAATTTGTTAATAACTTCAGCGTTCAGAGGCGGCGCGTCGTCTTGCTGGAAAAATATGTTTGTCGAGCTCCATTAAGGGCATATTATCAATAAGGGGTCCAAAGCCTACTAGTTAAAAGTGGCGAACTTTTAAAATTCTGTATTTCGAAGGGAATTATAACAAAACATCAAGTGTGCTATATTTTTGAAATGTAATTTTAAATTCTTTTTCAGTTAATTAAAAATTATAGAGGGTGTCCCAAATAAAAATAAAAAAAAAATTTTCTGTTGATAACTCTTAAATATTAATTTAAAAAAATTATACTTAAACCATTAAATTCTACGTAAAAGCGTGCTTTGAAATGTTTTCATAGAAATACAAAATTCTTCCATAGCAAAAAGTTACAGCGATTTGTTAAAATGCACATTTTTGAAAAATACCCCTGTAACTCCGAAACAGATATTGATGTGCGGTTTTCACCATCATGTTTTTGATGAAAATTGAGCTCCAGACACCGATATTAGTTTTTGTCTATCTCCTATAGAAAAGGGTGTTTCCATTTAAAAGCGTCGAATTTGACCCACCCTGTACATATGCATGTATGTATAGGTATGCAAGTAGAGTACGAAATTTTTACTTACGCCGTTTATGTAGGCTAGTAGCATATTCTGTAATTTTCTGTCATCGTAACCAAAATAAGGACCAAATATTTTATATGCTGCTTCATCAAAAAACAACGCTAGTTCTACAGTCATTGGCGGAGCTCTACGGTAAAGGTTATTATTAAGGGTATTCTGGAAAATTTCGTCCTCGAAAATATCGCCTATGTTGTCATTTAACTCTTCATTTCTGTCCAAGAGGTTACCTAAAATAATAATCAAATATGGTTTCTATATACAGGGTTATTCACCTCATTCGACACGAAGTATTGTAGCCACACGAATTATTTTCAATAGGTAAGGAGTGTCCCAAATAAATGTGCCATCAAAGTTGTATTTTTTTAAATGGAACACAATTGTATATTATTACATTTTTAGTTTCATGATTAAAAAGCAAAATATGATTATACACTTGCACTTTAATCTTAGCGTTTTGGAAATATTTACGATTTTGTGAAAATGCAGCAACAATTTTAATGCTTCATTTCTCTAGGGGTGTATTTAAGTTTTTAAAACTAAATATCGTACTGAAGTTCTCTATTTATTAAATTTCGTGTTGCGATAAAAAAATCTTATACAGAGTGTACTTATACTTTCACTGTATAATAAAAGTCTTGGTGTAATATCACTTACCATACTTAAGTGACATTTTTTTTACGTTTCTTACCTGCTGTAGGAAATAAATCATCAAACAAGAAATCTTTCGCGAATCTTGCTCTTTTAATAATATGAGGTACTCTTCTCTGACTAGAAGGTTCTTCATCACTAATATCCCTCTTTACCAATCTCTGAAGTTTCGGAGTTAACGGATGTATTTCGAATGTAGTTGTCCAGAAGTAAAACCTTGCTAAAATACAATTAACATTTCTAATTAAATCAACCTAGAAGAATGATATTATGTTACTATGTAGGTAAAATTCATACGTAGAATTATAACAGACAGAATCAAAAAAATATTTAGTTAACTGTTAAAGAAATTCAGTGGCGGCTCGTCAAGGTAGGCAAGGTAGGCAGCGCATACCCTAAAATTTTGGCAGAATTTAAGCGGTTTATTACATTACATTATTTACTATTGATGTTGCTAATACATAAAAATATCATAATACACAGAAGTGTGTTTTAATAATCAATATTATTTTAATATTTGTGGTCTTGTGTATAAAGTTAAATTATTAGGTTAACGATAGATTTTTACATAGCCTTAAGTTATGCTGGTTGAATAAAGAGCTGCTACTTGTGCTCATTTTACAAGATACAGAGTGTCCCAAATAAGTAAAATATTATAGTTGCAGGTTTGCCGGAAACCCCTGTATACAGGCTCCCTATTTTTGGATTCTACGGTTGAAATAAAGGTGGGCTTGATTAAGTTCATTACTTTAACCTGTCGAATGCTTAGTCATTTCAATTTTATTGAACAGGCTTTATAGCCACAGGTAACGGTGCTTAATACTGTAATATTATCGAAGTTACTGCCTACCGTGCTGCAACAATACAATCCGATACAGAGTGTCTAAAAATTTTAAATACAAACGAAAAATACGAGGAAAAATAATTTTTTGAACACCCTGTATTTTGGCGAGAACAGATGCAATACTTTGGTCTGTTCATCAATTATACCATTTTTTGCCTGAGCCTCTTTTTGCTTTCCAGAAAATTTATTTTCTGTAATTTAGAATTTATTTATCAATATACCCATGGGACTATTGACATTTTAGATTATTTTAAAGATGTACCAAATTTTAAAGAGTACAGATACTAATATTGTCGATATAATTCGTTTATTTCATTAAAAATAAAAAAACTGTTTAAATATTTGTTAAAGAGGACCAATTATGATTCCAGTATTCAAACTACATTAACTGACTGTTTGCGTTGATTAATAATAATTGCTCCAAATACTAAAAAAAACTGAATTTTGTATGGGCATTAGACAGTGTGATAAAAAATACCTTTTAATAACATTTTTAATAAATGCTTATGTATAACAACAAAGACTTTAATTTGATAACTTATTATATTGATTTCTGACTCAAAATCCACATTTATTTATAATAATTTATTAACAAACACAATTAAGTATGTCATTAATTAGTATATGGCGGAAATAATGGTGTTGTAGGTATTTATTAATGGTATACTTTTATAAAGATTTAAATAGTTTTCTTTTGGCATACAAGGGTTAGTAATATCGTTTTGCTAAAACGATAATAATATTACTAGTCTGTACATTTTTGTACATTTGTTGCTTTAAAAACAATCTAAAATGTCAGTATTCCATGGATATATTGATAAATGAGGTCTAAAATTATAAGAAAATGCATTTTCTACGAAAACTTGAAGGGATAGGTAAAAATGGTATAATACAATTTGATAGACAATTTAATTTGTGCATCTGATTCTCCAAAATATACAGGGCATTCCATTTAAATTAAAGAAGTTATTGCCGTTTGATAATAATTATTTAAAATAGATTTTAGACACTCTGTATAAGGTAGTATTATTTATTATTACAACACAATAACTCGGATCAATAAATAAACTTCAGTAAATATTTATATTAAAACTTTGATACCCTCGGAGAAATGAAGCCTTTTTTTTTTTTTTATTTATTTATTTTCACAAAATTGAAATTTTTTTTTAAAGATTTTGTTTGGTTTAAGTATAATAAACCCAATTTCTATCTTTTATTTTTAATCGTAGAAAACTAAAAATGTAATAATATTAGGGTGTTCACTTAAAAAAATACAACTTTGATATTTTTTATTTATTTGGGAGATCATCTTGTAAAAATATTTTAAATTGTAGCTCTAATAGTCCTTCAACGAACCCCAAACTTACAATTTGTAAAAATCTCATCGTTTAGCTACAATACTCCGTGTCGTACGTGGTGAACAACCCTGTATAAAACATATCATTCTTTCTCTCAATACCACCAAATTTTAAGTTTGCGTAAATAAATAAAATAAAATTCTACGATGTACTTCATAGTGACTCCATAGTAATACAAGGGTAATACATATACTTGTATATTATGTCAATCATTATGTCATTACGTTGAATGCTGTTATTTTTGCTTTAGTTTTATCCTAAATATTATTGAGCTATGTTTTTAACCCTTAGATAACATATATTTACAAAAATACCATGTTAAATGTTGAAAATGCCTTACCACAGCTTTAGGGGTACACATGCTAAGTGCGGCAACAAATTCTTCATCTTCGTGTAAATAATGACAGTTTAATGGTGTTTGATTCAAGTATTGAACATTATCATCTTCATGGATGTATGTTTTAAATGTCGTTCCTAATATGTTGGTATTCTTTTTCAGTTTTAAATTAATCGGCCTGAAATTTGGGTATACATAATACGAGATATACAGGGTGTTTGAAAAAACATGTGCCATCTGTCGTGCGCAGATTCCTCACGAAAAATAAGATTTATTTTTTATATCAACGATATATATATCGTCCATAGACTTAACATAAAATATATGGTCCGATTTTGCTTTGTTTCGTAGCTACAGGGAGTTTAAGTCTATTTTTTAAATTTATTATAACTGGAATATTTTTTTTATTACAATTACGTAAATAATTTATTAATTTAATTTTTATTTTAATTTTATTAATCACAATTAATCAAATTAAAATAAAAATTAAATTAATAAATTTAAAAGTTTTAACATCCTTATTTTAAAAACCTTAAAATTAATTTATAGAAACTTTTTTTCATATTTTTTGACGAGAAATCAATCAGTGAGCAATTATTTAACACTGTGACCAGTTAATGGCATTAAACATTTTTAAAATTTGCTAGATTTGGGATAAAGGCAAAATAATAAAACTGCGTTTATCTCGTCAAGAAGACAAAATATCAAGAGAAAACTTTTAATCGACATTAAACGGTCTACACAATTTTGCTAACAAGGAAAAAAAGTCAGTGGCGCACATGTTTTCATTAAAAATATATTCTACCCATATGCACGTCCCTGTGAATATATCAATTCTTTTTTAGCATTAAAATATGTGGCACTTATAGTATTTTTTACCATTTAAATTACATTAGAATCGCTAAAAGCATTTCAAAGAAAATTATAATAAATTGAAAAAAAAATGAAGACCTTGTAGCTGCGAAACAAAGGAGAGTCGGACCTATGTTGGGTACAAAAAATAAATCTTATTTTTACGTGAGGAATCTCCCCACGAGAGATAGCACATATTTTTTGAAACACCCTGTATATTCTTGTTTTTTTTTGAGGAACCATGTAAAAATGCAAACTAATTTTTCGAGAAATATACAGGGGGACCATATACTAAGCCATTGGCGTAATTAAAGGGGGGAACGGGGATACCGGGGCCTCCCCCAGAGAAATTTTGACTGAAATAGTCATATTTCAGTCAAAATTTCTCTCAAGAGTCATCTTGACTAAATATTAATTTTTATTTGCTTGTGATGTAGTAAAAATTACTTTTTCAGGTTTTGTTTAGTTAATATTATTTTGTTTTGTTTTGTTCAAAAAATGTGTGTTAGTTTTTATTTTTTTACAAACTTTGTAGGTATTAAAGTAATCCACAGGAACACGAGGTTGATAATCCAAGTGATCAAATTGATTGATAAATTCATCAAAATGTTTTATTACAAAAAATGTGTTTATTTAGCTCGACCCGTACGGTATTTATTTATTTGTTTGTTTATTTGGGTCAAAATTAGAAATTGAAATTTAAGTACCTTCCTGTTGTCAGATTGATCTGAAATTTGGTACACACCTTTAGTTCCGATGACAATACAGTATAGTAATATCAATAACATTGTAAATCTAAGATGGCCGCCGGTACAAAATGGCGGATTTCATATTTTTCCACAACCCCCTCAATATGGGTATCAAATGAAAGGGCTACACTAGTAGAATACTGTGATTGTGACAAAATTTAAAATCCAAGATGGACGTCGTTACAAAATGGCGTATTAGGTGAGGGCATGAGTAGTCGTGTCCAGAACAGTTGTGTCCAAGATTGTGTGACGTTAGAAGGACAGATACAAAAAAGTAGGTGATTAGATGTACCTACGTAGTTAGCGGTAGCTTTACCACCCAAGTTAAGGTAATAGGTTAAAACGTGCTGAGGACTGTATGGCATTAGGGTGGCTAAAAATGTAATGTCGCAAGCGTTTTCCCCTCAAGATTGGGCGCCTCTTGTTGTATATTATAGCCTTGCCCCTCTACTGAACCTCTGGGGGGGTCGACCGTTAAAATGTCCATTACTCGTGGGAACAACATGGAAACAATAAATAAAAAAACAAACAAAAATAAAAACGAAACTGCTACACAACGAAAAAGAAGGCTCGAAAAGGCGAAAGAAAAATATAATAGATGTTTTTTTTTGAAATTTAAGTACCTTCCTGTTGTCAGATTGATCTGAAATTTGGTACACAACGAAAAAGAAGGCTCGAAAAGGCGAAAGAAAAGTATAGAACGAAACGTGCAAAAGAAAGTGAAAATGAAACCTATAGTCGACTACAGAAACGAAGAGAACGGTTAGCAACAGAAACACCTGAGCAACATGATGCCAGGTTAATAGCACAACGTGAGAGACAAAGGCAGCTGGTAGAGTCAGAAACACCTGAGCGTCATGAGTCCAGGCTAGCATCACAACGTGACAGACAGAGAGAGTTGTTAGCGGCAGAAATACCTGAGCGTCATGAGTCTAGGTTGGCATCACAACGAGAGAGACAAAGAGAGTTGTTAGCGTCAGAAACACCTGAGCGTCATGAGTCTAGGCTAGCATCAGAACGCGACAGACAGAGAGAGTTGTTAGCGTCAGAAACACCTGAGCGTCATGAGTCCAGGCTAGCATCAAAATTGTTTGAGGAAGGGCAAGCATACGTGGCTCTAAGTCGAGTCAAGTCTCTGGAAGGGCTATGTATTGAGGAATTAGATTGTAATAAATTATCAGGTAGAAACCATGTAATAATGATGCACTAAATGAATTAAATAGAATGAGGAATATTCGGTAGGCATTTCCGTTAAATACTAAAAACTAGAAAAGGGTCGGTAAAAAACTTTTTAAGTTAAACGGTTTTATCTTATGTGCACTGAAAACTAGAAAATAATAATAACAATTAGGTATTTTGAACTTCTAGTTCAGAAATATTTTAATTACTAGGCAGAATAGCTTTTAGGCATATTAGACTAAAATAAAAACGTGGGGCCCATTAACTATTGCTGTAATACTTTCTTCTATACTAAGGTGGATTGCATCGACTTACTATAATCGTAACTGGAGATTTTGACAATCAATAACCAGCCGTGGCGGCTTCACCAGCGAACGCCGAGCTCATGATCTACCAAAGTATAAAGTTATGCTTTGCCATAGGTAGGATTTCAGAGGGGCCCCACGTTTTTATTTTAGTCTAATATGCCTAAAAGCTATTCTGCCTAGTACTAAAATATTTCTGAACTAGAAGTTCAAAATACCTAATTGTTATTATTATTTTCTAGTTTTCAGTGCATATAAGATAAAACCGTTTAACTTAAAAGTTTTTTTACCGATTTTTTATTTTTTAATATTAATATTATTCATTTTTTAAAAAACAAAAGCACTCGCCCAATAATACAAGATTGAATACTCGTTTCATGAAGTAATAAAATATTTTCCACTAGTAAATATACATACTTTTAAAAAAAAATTTTAGTTGTTAAAAACTTTATATAAAGCACATTTATAATATTACCGGTCGTGTTGCGAGTATCTAAGTGTAGGTTTAAAATTCTACGTAATATTAATTAACACCTTGTATACACATCAAACAAAACATTAACGGACAATATTTTTCATATTGTATATCGCAAATATATAAAAATGCCGACTATAAAAAAAATCACGCTAATAATTTACGAAAACACGCTAAAATATTAGGCAAATAAATATTAAAATATACAGTTAAATAACTCAATTCAGTTTGGTTTTATTTACATTGAACATATTGTCTTGTTTATTAGAGGTATTAAAAAAAACATTAATTTACCTTTGGAAAGCGGAAAATGAATATTCTATGCCTTCGTCGTCATTTTCTTCTTTCAAATCATCTTTCACTAATTCTTCTACCGGAAGATGAACTACCTCATAGTCTGGAATAGCGTCTCTATCAGTTGTTTGAAAGTAGTAAGCCAAATCGTGTTCACTCATAGCATCGTTCAAAAAACGTGCTTCTTTTAAAGTTCCACATTGGATTAAACGTACAAACAACAATGCAAAAAGGTATTTCAACATATCAATAAATTTATATAAAAAAAAAGAAATAGAAAAATTGAGAACTTAGGGGAATATTAATTTTCAACGCGGACATATTTTTCTTTTATATTTTATTCGAGTACAGTTACATGGTGACTGATGAGGGTACTTTAGAGCAGCTGAAGTGATAATGAATGAATATTTTAAGATCAAAAGAATAGGATGGGTTAGGTAAAACCCGTAAAGTATGTTGACCTTATTGCTATTGGCAGTGGTGTGCTATGTGATTTTTTAAATTAAAATTGTTCATATTTTCCATATAGATTTATCTTTTCTTAAAATTAAGGGATCATTACTAGAGGAATAGTTCGAAAAGGTTGTTTTTTTCCATTCAAAAATTGTAAACAACCCATCTATTTACTTTTAGAGCATAGCAATTTTCAGCAGTCGTTTAATTTTTTTATTGATAAAGATTTTCACTTACTGTCTACGAAGAAAATACAGCAGAAATATTAAGAAAGTTTTTGAAAAAACTGCAATCAATTATTTCTAATAGATTTCGAGATATCGATTTTTGAATTCAGAGTTCTAATAGCCCGACCACTGTCGAAAACCAACTCAATTTCGTTTATTTTTACCAAAAATGCAAGTGTTTCTAGCTTGCACTTAAAAATTTTCAAGCTATAGAGAAAATTACGACTCTTTCTATAATCCTACTGATGAACATCATAAATCAGGTAGTGATTGAGACATTTTGAAGCTGTTTCTGTAGATGAGTGTAATGTTAGTTCCTCTGAAACTGAATCTCAGAGGAGAACTAATTTGAGAACCAACAATATAAAACAAGAGCTAAAAGAGTGGGCGTTAAAATACTCATGTAGCTCTGAATAATGTAGAAACACTAATAATAGAAAATGCACAATAAGTAAAAAATAACTTCAAAGGACAAGGCGGAACATTATAGTGACATCAATGGAATGTATAGTCGCCACCACCGCGATCGGTGTAGCAACGCTCCAATTAAGTGGCAATTTGGTGGCGCAGGGAACTTTCTTGGAAAAATCACTTTATGGTTGCCAAGAATCGTTGCCCATGTAGTTCCAAAAAAGATATTGTTTCTATAAAGTCGCCTTTGGATAGCTACATTTGTCACTTATCAATCCGAAGATTTTAAAGGTCCAAACGGGTAGGGTTGGCCTAATATGTTATTGTTCCCGGTACTTTGTGGAAGCATATGGAACTATAAAGTATTTTTCGGATTAAAGGGCCATTTTTTTTTCATAAATTTTTAAACGATCAGCCAAATGGCTCAAACATTATGCTTTTTTAAGCTAAATATACCTAGATTTTTTACTTAGTTATTTTGTTATTTCTGACGGTGGACTAATTTTTTAAAGTTTGACCCCGGTTTCAAGCAAATTATTATTTTTTAATTACAAACATGAGTTTCTATTGCAAATAATATAATAATTTGAAATATTTTGAGAGGTGCTCGAAAATTTTGTTATATAAACCCACTGTTTTATTCAGTAAAATTGATTGCGTTCTGGAATTTACCTAAAAAAGACGTTAAAATCGCACGGTAAATAACAAATAACGAAAAAATAATAATGGCTTCCATAATTATTTTCCATCATGACATTTATTTTTATGAAATGTGAAATTGCATGAAGAGGTCGCTGCGAATAAAGTTCAACAGTTTGACGAAAGTTCCACATGTCAGTGGCTAACACTTGGCTGCCACGAACCCGCGACTAGGCAGCTTCGTAACGGATAAGTCGCATTCACCAGTAGGCTACTTTATAGTAACACATCATAGTAACTCTTTTAGTGGCACGACAAATAATCAAAACCTGTTCTGGAAAACTAACATTTTATTTACTAGTGGTATTGAGTATTGTTTTTTTTCTGCTGCTTCGCTGTCGCCTAACAGTTTAAAGAGGAATCCAGCTGTTAAAAAAATTTATCATAAAAATATATAAAAATCTGACTTAAAGCCATTTATAAAAAGACTTAAATATTTTTAATGACTTAAGTCTTATCTAAAATCTTTTTCTATTTCGGAATAAAGAGTTAAACGACAGATCGTTTTCAAAAAGACTTAAATTTTAAATCTTAAGTCAGCTTTCGAAGAATGACTTAAATTCAAATGACTTAAGTCATTAAAATGATTTAAATAAAAAAAAACGTAAGTTGTCCGGAAGCTTGCAGCTCTGGGCCAGGTATTTTACTTTGTAAATTTCCAAAAATTATTTTCCTTAAATTTTGAGAACCACTGAATTTTTTCGGTTTTTTCAAGATTCCAGGACCATTAATTTTATTTTCAGTTGTTTAATAATCTTCATATTTTTTTAATAAATTTAGTCATATCTTCACGTGCATTTTTCAATTAAATAATTAAAAAATAGAAACGTTGAAAAGTTATTTTAACATTTTTTTTAATATATATTTAAAGAAAATATTGTTTTTGTAAACTTTTAACAGAAGAGCAAAATAAAGCTACCGACAATGCACGCCTATGTAGAAAATTATCAATAATATTAAATCATCGAGTTATTGTCCTCCTTGTACAAATTTTAAATACAAACATACATAATAAATATGTATGTTAAAGAGTCATAATTCCGCCGAAACAAGTACTTATGTATGTATATCGCTATACTCGTAATGCTTATTTGACTAATATCTACCAACGCCCATTGTTTTTTTTTAATCTTTGAAATTACTTTAAAATTCCATAATCAAAGTATCACCTAAAATTTATATCTGGTAAATGAAGACTCTATTAACCAGACGCTGAAATTATGCAAATATTCCATTTATTAACCATTGTAAGTTATTTTGTTTTTCAAAATGTCTTATTTTATAAAAAGAATTAATTTTTTATCCATTATAAAGGTGCTTTACACACATCGATTTGTTTAAACCCTTGTAATAACACTTTTAAAATCAAAAACAATTTGAGAAACGGCAATATAGCTGTAAAACACCGACTTATATACAGGGTGTTTCAAAAAACATGTGCCATCTCTCGTGGGGTGATTCTGCTTTGTTTCGCAGCTACAAGGGCTTAAAGACATTTTTTTTTCGATTTATTATAATTTTCTTCCAAGTGGTTTTAGCGATTCGAATGAAATTTTGAAGGTAAAAATTACTATTTAATGCTAAAAAAGTGTCAACATATTCACCAGGGACGTGCATACGGGTTATAACTGGAATATTTTTCTAAAACAGGTGCGCCACTGACTTTTTTTCTCTTGTTAGCAAAATTATGTAGACCGTTTTACGCCGATTGAAAGTTCTATTTTGATATTTGCTCGATTTCGATCTCCTTGATGAGATAAATGCAATTTTATTAATCACAATTAATAAAATCAAACTAATGTATTTAGATAAATTTTCATTCATTTAGTTTATTAATTTTTAAAAATATAAATTTTCTTTTTTTGTTGAAATCCTGCTTAACTTTATTTTTAAAGTAATTAGTATTAATAAATTATAAAAAATATTTGTGCTAAAATGCCTTACAAATTTATTTTAATATTATAATTTTGAAATAAAAAAACAAGTTTTTTATCAACAGCTTTATTAAAACAATATTAAAAAATAACAAATATGGTTGTTTTTCTAAAACCTACACACAATATTTGTATCTCATCATAAATATACGTAATATATTTGTTAAATATACAATAATTATAACCTAGGTACCTAAACCTTAACAAATGCATATCATTATTCAAAACTAATTTCCTCTTAGTAAGAAGCATTAGCAAATACCTATTATGTATACCCATTTAACGTAAAATAAGTATCAACTGTAGAAAATGTAATGTAAAAAAATACGTAACAAAACTAGATAACAATTATTTTTAGAGTCTTAAACCATTCTTAATATTAAAAATTCAGATGTATAAAAAGTCCTATATAAATTCCCTCGACTTTATCTGTGACAACTATGTATCTCCAGAGACTCGAGTATTTGTAAAAAATAATTGAACTTAAATAATTGATAAAACAAGTTTTTTCTATCTACTCTACAATCTTGCTACATGAACAAGAAATACCCTGTAAAAACACTACATTATCTTCCATTTCAAGAAATGTTATAAGTTTGATTTTGAATTTGGTTTCGCCACCTCATCCCAAATGGTTGTCCCATCGCAAGCGCATATAGTCTTCGGATTTTGAAATAGGCCTGCCGATCTGGCTACGATTCCACAAGCAATTGGTTCTCCATTGTTATGCTAATAATTAAAAAAAGAGTATAGTTTTAAATTTAAATTTAAAAAATCTATATAATGAGACAGAGATGTGACTTATTATTTCAGATACAACTATTTGAAATATTTCTTTAATTTCATCTTGTATCTTGCATTTAGATACATTTTTTAGTCTCTTAGCATTTTACAAATACTTAGTTTGCTAAAATACATTTACTAATAATAGTTATCCACGCATATTTTTTACTTTACGACATTCGATCATAATAATATGGACCAAATAGAATATCCCTATTAGGTGTGATTAAATATCCGTAGATGAATATAGGTAGGTAATCATCTAAACAAGGAGTGCGCTAATGAAAATGCGTGAGTTAAGAGCTTCTTAACTCACTGACGTAGATAAATATTTATAAAAAGTCAACAAGAATTTTATTATCAAAATAATAAATTTATTTTCCTACATTAGTTATACTTAACAACAAGACCTTACATTCCATTATATAATATATAAAATATTTTATTCTTAACATATTTTTGCACCTAATTACAATACGAATATCACATAATATACCGGATATATTGCATCAAAATTAACACATTTAATCATCCCAATCGCCTTCATTGCTAGACCCTTCATTACTCTCGTTATCCTCTTTAGGGTCCGGCGGAGGAATCATAAACGAAATCTTTGCCAGAGTCGACTCTCCACTCAGAACTTCTTCCGATTTCTTCGTTCCCGATATACCCTTCCGTCTCAACATCAGTTTCGAGGCAGGTCCGCCATCAGGTCACCAGATGGCGCTGTAGATTTCGTACTGGCAGACTGGTGCTGGTCGGAGTTTGTTTTTCGCAGTTTGGCTCCCTGGGAACCACCGGCCTGTCGTATTGCCTCCATCAGGTTGGTTCTGGAATCGGGAATGGGAGGTGCGGTGATAGGAGGAGGTTGGACAGGTGCGGGGATCAGGGGAGGTGGTGGAGGTATATCCCTTGGTGCGGCGATGGGCACCGGCGTTGTAGCTGTAAAAAGAATCAGGAATTTTAAAGTAAATACAGTGATTATAAAGAGGTTTCCATACGGTAATCGCAAAACAATTTCCGATGCACGTGATCAACTTTGAGTGACAAGCGATGGCGACAGCGCTGCCAGATTGTGATGGATTTATGAGATGATCTTAATTTAAAAATTTTATTTTTAATTTAATAACTGATATTTTAGTAATTAATTGATTTTTTTGTTTTATAGTTTATTTTACTTATTACATATTGGCAAAAACTAGTCCATTATGAAGATTATTTTAAGCATTATTATGGGATATTTATTTATTGTGTACATCTTACAACGCCATAAGTGGTAATAACAAGTGAGAGGGTGCTATTAATGCACAAACTAAAATCACAGAATTTAATAAAAACTAAGGTAGAAATAACTTTCAAAGTGGTGTAATGTGCTTATCAATCAAACTTACTTCTCTGATTGCAGTCAAGGATAATAAAGAACATTTATTGTCAGGTTCTCGTTCAAAATAGTTTATCAGGGTAACTTTAATCAGGGTAATTTTAACTCTTTGCTTCAACTGTTCAAATACTTCGGCACATAACAATGCAACACACAATTTGAAGAAATGCAATACAAAAACTCGAAAATTTAGTTCTTAAAAGAACTGTTTCTGCTTAAAAGTACAATTTTTACAAAAAGACTATGAAAATAGACAAAAAACAGAATTACTCACAAATATTCAACAACAACACGATATTATATAAAATAATGACTGACATTAGGATAATTGTCAAATAATAAACGACAACGTTGCTGAACACGGCGCAATGATAATAAAACCAACCAACATAACGATAATAAAAATTCGGTTTAAACTCATTTTTAAGCTTTAATCTAAATAAAATATCTGTTACAATCATTTGCTTTATAAAGTAAAATGATAAGCTGCTCGGTATCTTAAATTATACAACAAATTTAAACATTTTTGGCTAAAATTTCATTTAGTTAGGTTTATAGACTTTAGTGTCAATTTCGATATGATTGATGACGTGCATCGGAAAATTGTTTTGCGATTATCGTATGTCACATGTTACATACAGTATGTGTAGAGTGTATTCGCGTATACGGGGTTCGGCAATAGTGCTTCGGGCATCTGTAGCCCCTAACATAAAAAACTTAGGAATTTTGTTTAAGTGCAAAATATGTATTAGAATATATTTCAGCAAAATAATTTAACCTCTACAGGGTAGCTCATTTTTTTAAATGGAACACCCTGTAAATTACTGCATTTTTGTCTTGCTTTCTGATCACTTATAATTAAAAATACAAGAATTGTCTTGAAATTAAAGCTACATTAGGTATTTACTTTAGATGGTCTGTGCTTAATTTGCTATAAATATCGTAATCTTAAATCATACAGGGTGTTCAAAATTCTACGCCCAACTTTCTAAAATATAAAATAATTTTTCTTCGTTTGTTTTTTGGAACACCCTGTATATTATTTTTTTAATAGAAGGAGACATAAAAAATGAACATTTTTTTGTATTTAGAGTATATACAGGGTGTTCCGTTTAAAAAAAAAAAAAAAAAAGAAAATTTATATTATATTTTACACATTACAGTTACATTTTTACAAGTTTCGCGTAAAATTTTGAACACCAGTATGATTTAAGATGACGATATTTATAGCAAAGTAACAACAGACGATATAAAGTAAATGTCTACTATAGTTTTGATTTCAGGACAGTTCTTGTATTTTGAATATTTTTTAAATAAGCCAAAAATAAATATTTTTTATTTATTTATTAATCTATCTGAAATTATCGAAATATATTTACTCATATTACATAAACTGATCTGAAAGAATGCAAAAAAGCAATAATATACAGGGTGTTCTATTTAAAAAAAATTCCACTCCTACTTTTTTGAGCCAGCCTGTAGAAGTTAAAATATTTTCCTGAAACATATCCTAGTACATACTTTAGGTTTACTCTTAAACAAAATTCCCAAGTTTTTCATTCTAGGAGCTACAGATGCCCGATGCACTATTGCCTAACCCTATATGATGAAAATCAGATAATTCTTTATTATCAATTTAAATTTGAAAGGCCACCGTGACGCCGTTTTTTTCTGTCATATGGCATTAATAGTAAGCTTTATATAACTATGTATTATTTTACTTACTTATATTATTTGTTGGATCTTCAGAACTTGTTACTTTTACATCAACAACTCTTGGAGGTGGCTCTTGTATTGGTGGAGGTTTAGGTACATTTTCTGGAGGTGGAGGTGGTGGAGGAGGATTAGACAACACTGCATCCACATTATCTTTTACTTCAAACACACTGGGTAAATCTAGCTTGTCTGCGGTAACTTTATTTTGATTAAAGGCAGAAGGTGCTATGCTAGTGTCAACATCAAGTTCATATCTCAAGTCACCAGCAACGCCAGGTAAGTCTGGTAGATCCAAAGGCACATCTAATGCAGGTAACTCTTCTACTTTTGGTTTGTAAAAAAATATGATTCCTCTATTCCTTGGTGTAGGGATGACGATCTCTGACTTATAGAGTGAGGTGCTGGGCCCAATTCAGATGTATTTATGTGCACTGTTTCACTTACTACTTCATTTCCTTTTAAAGAATCAATGTATCCGAATTCTTTTTATAAACATTTTTTGCCTGTGTTAAAAAAGAAGCAAGTCACAGACACCTGTAATATTTGGTGGTAAGTTTCCAAGACCTTCTAACACACTATCATCCCTTTCATCGGGGACTTCCACGTGAAAGAATTGCAATTTATTTAAAGGTTCGTACGCGGATGAATAAGCTGTATGTTTAACATTGTGTTTTTGTAACTTTATATCGGATCCGCCACTAAATATCGATTCATAATCACATTTTACATCAAGGCCTGGATATTTACTACTTGAAAACACGGTAGTGGCTTTTTTTGCTCCGTTAAGCTGCTTGATTTTGGACGCTGCCACATCTATCCTGTTTGATATATTTGAAAGCTTCGTATGATTTGTTTGGATTCGTTTATCCACCCGAGATAAAACGTCTTTTGTAATTTCAGTTAATTGGTCTAAAACATCAACTATTTGAACTATTGTCTCTTCCTTGCTCAAATTTTGAGGAATTGCTGAGATGGTATATTTTGAGTTCATGATTTAGGTAAAAAACAACAAAATCAAATTTAAAAAAATGGGTTATGTTGTGTTGTATTCTTCTTCGTTAAGTTGACGTGTGTTAGTGATGGGCATCGACGCAAAACATCGATGTTAAGTTCAAATTATGTTCAAATTTAACATTATTTGCTTTTAAACATGAATAATATCATTTAAAAATAATGTATTTTAAATTTGAACACATATTTTAATATTATATAATAAGTACATATAGATAGAAGCCCAGAAAAGCGCAACAAATTCGCAAAATTTCAAAAGGTAGACTAAATAATTTGTTAGTTTTGTTTTACAATTGTCAGTAAACGTTATTTGCTATTAAAAATGTTAAAAAACATATTTCTAATAAAAATGTAGAAAACATAATAACAAAAACACCACATGCACTACTGAAAAACCCAAGTCAAATTGATGTATCCTAATTATTTATCGACAAGTAATAATTGAAAGAAAAAATGCAAGAGTACTGATACTGTACTGGTACTTACTTCAGGACCTATTCCAAATGCTCTTCCTAAAACATCTGATAATTTTATTGTATTATCTTCTAATCGAAATTCAGAACGTCCATTTCTTTCTGCCAATATTTTTCCTATATCTCCATACACCTTTTTGTTTACATTGTAATAGTCAGGATTAAAAATGTTTCCAATGCTTTTGCATCCTAAAAAAACTAATTTAAATTGATAAGTTATAACATTTATAAACATTACCTCTAGATATATCACCACATTCATAAATTGCTATTCTATGTTTACCAGGCGGTAATCCATCGACTGTGCCATCAATAATGCACACATCTGGTGTTGCTTGTACAAATCGTACAACTCCATTTACATTAGCGTCTCCTGCTTCCAAAATAGAGACACCTGCGCTACTTCCAGCATAGCCTATAAAAAAGTGTTATTGTATAGAAACAATCCAATAATATTACAAAGTCTCCACCTTTAACTGCAACAGGTCGGCCGGTGGATTCAAGTAATTCTTGTAATCTTAGAGTAGATAATGTGCTTTCAATAACAACAGAGCCCTTTTCAAGATTAATATCGACTTTTTTAATACCTTCGACACTATCTAAACTTTTATGAATATCATCAACACATGCTTTACAGGTCATTTTGACCAAAAACTCTATTACTGTTGAAGTCATTTTTATCTGAAAAAACAGTTGAGTAACATGACAATGCATAATTATGCATTTAAAATTATATTCTTACCTAATATCTGTTTTTAAGAAATTCAAAGTTCTTGAACTATTGCTATATACGATTCAAAAAATGTGGATAGAAATTATAAAAACTCGAATTAATTAATAACAACAATTTAGTTATACAATTTAAAAACAACGTGAAACAAATCAAAATAGCCAAGAAATAACACTTCAAAGTTTTATTATTCCGGTTTTATTTATCTCACAATTTAAAGGACGAGGACGAAAAGTACCCAGTGAAGTTAGGTAGCAATTTGATAGTAAGCGCCAGTAAGCGGGTGGTAGACATATATTTATAAGTATTTGATATGTATATGGTGGCAGATATTTTTCAATGGTAGTTCAAATGAGTTGACAAATGACGATATTGACATTGACGTACAGTTTGACGTTTAACAACTTTTTAATTTGGTTATTGTTTTTTTTGTGAAAAGATGGAAAGTTTGATAGAATATAAGTGATAAGTTCTTTCCTAAAGTAAGGATAAAATATACAAGTTAGCAACAAATATCTGTGTGCATACGATTTTTATAACTGACAGTTAAATCATTATTATACAATGGATCAAGATGAAAACAATCTTGAAGAGGGAGAAGTGAGCACTGACATTAGTTTTTACACTGCACAATTAATCCATTTATTTCCAGATTCAAGACGATGACGATACTGAAGTCTATACTCCTCTGGAGAGACCCCAAACTTATGCCTTAGATATCCCACAAAAAAGGTTTCCTGTTGATACTCATTACAGTGAAAGTGAAGAGGAACAACAATCTTCTGGTAGCGACAGTGATCTTGACGTTGGCATTCCCCGAAGTAAAAAACCAAAAAAAATTAAAGTTATTCCAAAACTTATACCTAAGCCAAACAAGTTGAAAAAGTATGACATTTGGAGTACCCGGCCCAGGAAGATGTTTTAGGTAGTTTTTGTTACAGTAATATACAAAAGTTTCTATATAATAATACAATTTTCTGATATTAAAGCTGAAACAATGAATAGCTGTGATGTTAGTATAAAAAGATAGATCGCGTAATGTTGAATCATATGATTATTCGCTTGCCGCCAAAAATGTATGAAGAACTGGAGGCAACTCAAGGAAACAAAAGAACCAGGGCTGATAGAAAAATAAGCTTTTTAGGTTTGTTTAGTTAAAAGGTTAATTTAATCTAATTTATTTTTATTTTTAGACAAAAACATAGATCAAATAGTCCAGAAACGGAAATCAAAGGAACATCAAGATTGATTCCAGATTTAAAAGTGGATATTACCAGTGACATCAATGAAATTGCCACAGATATGGCAAATAAACTTGGCGAAGAAAGGGAAGACTTAATATGTATGTCGAACATATTTATGAAGTTTAGAAATTTATATTAGCCATTTTTTTTAGTAAGAGTGCTGGATGTAGTAGGAATAGAAAGAACATTTAAGATATATGAGGAAGCTCAAAGAATAGAAAAGGAGGGTGGAATGCTAATAATGGTAAAAAACAAAGATATATAGCTTGAAAGTTAAAAAAAATATATGAAGATGATTTTCAGAATCAAACAAGGAGGAGGACTCCAGGTGGAGTTTTTTTGTTTTTAGTGAGACATGACAAGGATCTGAATTTAGAAGAAAGAAATAAGATATTCGATGAAGAGAAACAGAAGTACAAGAAGATAATTAAAGACAAAAGGAAAGAGAAACTTCAAAAGATTAAAGATGAGACAAGTAAGAACACTTTAAAACTAATTAAATTTACAAAATCTAAGATGAGAATCATTCTATATCAGTATTAATATACAGTAGAGTGGGTCAAAATAATTGACTTTTTTTCACTTTATTCTCTGAAAAAAAGGTTGGTAAATTCTCTCTAAATATGAGCTCTTGATTTTAATAGGAAGGTCCTCCGCCTTTCAGAGAAAAGATATATCGTGTATCTCATATATTTGTAGGAAATTGAATTCTCTACAAAAAAGGTCTCTTACAATTTTTTTTGTAAACCACGCCGTTCGAAAGTTATTGAAGGTTGAAGTTTGATTATTTTAAGGCAGATTTCTTTTTTCTTATGAATTTTATAACTTCGTTAACAAAAAATTATTATGATACGAGTAACTGATGGTTTTGTAGGAAATTCACTGCTATACAAAAATGGTTACATTATGATTAGTCTATTAAATTAACAGGTTAAGAGATATTTATCGTCAAACTTCAATGCACAATAATTTTAACAGTTTTTGATTAATAATTTGAACAATTCCAAATTATTTTAAGAGTTTCGGGAAAATTTGTATAAATTTCAGTTTCTATAAACAAAGAAAGGTTTTAAACTTTTTTTTTCTAGTTTTCTTTGGTCCTAAGCAAGTTTGGGTCCATTGAAACAAAAAAGTATTGCATTTTTTGTAACTTAGAGTCAATGATTCATTAAATTTTTCTGACAAAATTAATATAAAAAGTTTTGATCTAGAAGAAAAAAAAATTCAATTTGTTATCAAAAAGTTTTTTTTTATTTAATTATCAACTGAGATATAATTGGATTGTAGTTGTTTGAATTATTAATTAAATTTGTTAAAATTATTGTGCATTGAAGTTTGACGATGAATATCTTTTAAACGGTTAATTTAATCGACTAATCATAAGAAACCATTTTTGTAGAACAGTGAATTTCCTACAAAACCACGAG